AGGCTACTTGGCCACAGTTCTCTTTGAGTCATGACAGCCTCTGAAAGGCTGCTTATAATTCGGGCATTGGTTTCATGATCACACCGCCCCCCCCCAACCTTGAGAACCCACATCCTCCCTAGGAAAAGCTTGGGCCTTTTCTTTCAAAACCTGCTGAGGGGCAGATCAGTGTGACAAAATCACCCACCTACTCTGTACCCCTCTGGCTTTTAGAGGTTAATCCTCTCACTTACCTGCTTGGAAAATTTAAAGCAGCTTCTCTACAATCAGATAAAAAGTCTTTGTAATGTGACTCAAGTGTGAGCAACATGATACTGGTTAAGGCTAAAGGTGATTCCTTTGCAGTTAGGAGTCTCCGGGACACATTTAATTTCTTTTTTCCAGCTGACTTTTTCACTGTCCTGACCACCATTATTGTAAACTCTGGTTACTTGGGCTGCATTGCTGGTGTCCTGCCACATTCACCCATATCTGAAGAAAGACTTGCATATATTCAATGGCATCATGAATTTTATTTAAAAATATCCTCCATCTGTTTTGTTTCTTAAATTCCACATATGAATGAAACCATGTAATACTTCTCTTTCTCTGACTGACTGATTTTGCTTAGTGCCATCCTTTAGTTCCTTACCTTCTAGCTCCATCCACGTCGTTGTAAAAGGCAGGATCTCATTCCTTTTGATGGCTGCATAATATTCCACTGTGTATATATAGACCACATCTTCTTTATCCATTCATCTGTCGGTGGACATCTTGACTCTTTCCACAGTTTGGCTATTGTGGACATTGCTGCTGTAAACATTGGGGTGCAGGTGTCCCTTCGGATCACTATGTTTGTACCATTTGGGTAAATACTTAATTGTGCAAGTGCTGGGTCGTATTTGTAACTGTTTGAGGAACCTCCATACTGTTTCCCAGAGTGGCTGCACCGGCTTGCATTCCCGCCAACAGTGTAGGAGGGGTCCCCTTTCTCCGCATCCTCGCCAACATCTGTCATTTCCTGACTTGTTAATTTTAGCCATTCTGACTGGTGTGAGGTGGTATCTCATTGTGGTTTTGATTTGTATTCCCAGTGATGAGTGATGTTGAGCATCTTTCCATGTGTCCATTGGCCATCTGGATGTCTTCTTTGGAGAAATGTCTGTTCATGTCTTCTGCCCATTTCTTGACTGGATTTTTTGTTTTTTTGGCTGTTGAGTTTGATAAGTTCTTTATAATTTTGGATACCAGCCCTTTATCTGATAAGACATTTGCAAATATCTTCTCCCATTCTATAGGTTGCCTTTTAGTTTTGTTGACTGTTTCCTTGCTGTGCAAAAAAGCTTTTTATCTTGATGAAGTCCCAATAGTTCATTTTTGCTTTTGTTTCTCTTGCCTTTGCAGACGTGTCTAGATCCTTAAGGAATTTCTGCAAATGTGCACTGATAGGAATGTAACCTCTGCCCATCTGTAAATTACACCAGCATTTCTAAATATGTCACCCAAAAGGTGATTCGGGGAAGTGCCAAAGAGTGAATCTTCATCTCAGACCTCTCCTCTCCCAGCACTGATCCATACCCTCAAGGCTACTTGGCCACAGTTCTCTTTGAGTCATGACGGCCTCTGAAAGGCTGCTTATAATTCGGGCATTGGTTTCATGATCACACCGCCCCCCCCCAACCTTGAGAACCCACATCCTCCCTAGGAGGTGGCCACGTTACATCAAGACCCACACATCTCCCCTCATCTCTTCTCTGACCCCCAGCCCAATATTCCTGATCAGGAGATGGTTTTCTAATAGAAGGCTGAAGCAGATATCAACAGAGAGCAGATGCTTGGCAGAACCTGTCAGGCTCCTCTCCCTGGTTCCCCAAGCATACCTTAGGTTCTACATCACTGCCATGGAACTGGGACCTTTCCTAAATTCGTAATAGCTGATGTCAAAACATTTCCTCTCAAAAGCATGGGCAGTGCCCCACAAGGACATGCACATGGATGTTCATGGCAGCATTATTCATACAATCCCCAAACTGGAAAACAACTCAAATATCCATCAACCAGTGAGTGCATTTTTTAAAATGTGGTATATCCATACAGTGAAATACTATTCAATAATAAAAAAACTACTGATAGGGGCACCTGGGTGGCTCAGTCGTTAAGCGTCTGCCTTCGGCTCAGGTCATGGTCCCAGGGTCCTGGGATCGAGCCCCGCGTCGGGCTCCCTGCTCGGCGGGAAGCCTGCTTCTCCTTCTCCCACTCCCCCTGCTTGTGTTCCCTTTCTCACTGTGTCTCTCTCTGTCAAATAAATAAATAAAATCTTTAAAAAAAATTGTATAAAAAAAAACTACTGATACATGCCTCAACATGAATGAACCTCGAAAGCATTATGCTAAGTGATAGACATCTGATGAAAAGGACTACATATTTTATGATGGCATTCAAATCAAATGTCCAGGCAAGGAATAACTATAGACCGAAAGCAGGTCAGAAATTGCCCGGGGTTGGGATAGGGGCGAGGTCTGATTGTAAAGGGGCACAAGGTAACTTTATATAGTAATGGAAATGTCTTAAAACTAGGTTTTGGTGTTATAGATTGCTATACATTTACCAGAATCAGTATAGAAGATAAATTAATGAGAGCAGGTAAATTTTATGTTATGTAAATTATACCTCAATAAAGCTGCTAAAAAACATTTTCCAGTGTGGTGTTAATAACTTAAAATAATAATTTTGGTCACTGAGGAAAAAAAATTGACTGAATAAAACCCACTAAATTAAAAAAGTCTCCAATCCCTGTTTAAGTCAATTCAGACTGTAACATAAATGATCCTACCTCTGAGGGCTATTGACTTGATTACATGAGATGGTCTATATAATTTACGTAAATTAATGTGCGTGGCACTTAGAAGCCCTAGGAGGTCAACTGTCATGATCCATGCAGTTGCACTCCTTAAAGGGGCCATAGCTCCTGTGTAAAGCACAACTCAGGGCCATCTGCAGGCAGAGGGCAGCCTGCTCCACCTGGGTTGGGTGCTTCTCCAGGCCCTGTCTCTGCCCAGAACACATTTCACAAAAAAAGGGAACAAAATATTGATACACTCAATGAATGGACTGTATGATTCCATGTATAGAAAATTCTAGAAAGGCAAGCAAGTAATCAGACAAGGCAGACCAATGAGGGTCTGGATTCAGGGGAGGGGATCAATAGCAAAGGCACACAAGGAAACTGTACCTTGGTATTTGGTGTGGCTACACAATTGTGTACATTTACCAAAATGCATCCAATGGTACCCTTAGAAAGGGGTGAATTCTATGTCCAAATAATACTTTCACACAAAGCATTAGAATTAAAAGGTATTTTCAGCGGCTGTTTTGCTCATCTTGGTCACGTCTTTAAACTTTTTCATTGCGATCGAGGTTACAATTCAATTCTCCCTCCTCGCCAATGTAGAGACATTTAATTTTGGTACTTGTTAATATGGTTCACCTGACCTGTCTTTTTATGTTCTTGATATTGCTGATTAATTAAGCCTAAAACAATGTTCAAAAAGGTTTCAGGATGATATTCTTCCCTGGAGCTGCCTGAGTCACACCACACAGAGCCCTACAAACCACCCCCCCTCGACACCTAATGGAGATACCAGCCCTTCATTGAGAGGGTCTTAGGGCAAGCACAGCACAGCTCTTCAGTGTCAGCAACACATACCTTCAACAACAAAACTGGCAGTAAAGTTAATTCCATTTACATTTTTTATTACTTCCAATGTCATTAGTTTTATTCCCTTTAGTTTTAGCTGTCCAAGAAGGAGATGCAGACCCCTCAGTTCTAGGCCGTCATAACCAGCTGAAATGTTTTTACTACTTTCTCCCACGAGGAGGCAGTCTAATGGTGAATGCTGGCCTCACCACTTGCCCCGCTTGGGACCTCTCTGAGCATCAGTTTTCTCAT